AATAATTTTCCTTCAGTGTATCCAAGCCCTTTAGTTGTCATATTTATACCATTTGTCCTGGTGACAATAACAGTATCTAATCCAGGAGCAAAGAAAGAAGAGCTATTGAGTTAGAAAATCCATGCCAACATCCTAAACTACAGAGGAAATGACTGAATCTAGGGAGTAAAAACAACCAGGGTTTAGGTCACCATAAACACCATGCACCCCAAATCATACATACTCTAGCCTTTACCACACAAGATGTTAAATCTAAGGTGCCAGGACTTCTTTTTCATGTCATTAGCATACATATGCCACATGGAAAAGCAAAAGTCAGCAAATTGATGTTTCTATTATTTAGAAAAAATACGTTTGATGGATGGATATTACAAATGAATGTAACTTCCAGTTTAAAAACTTTTTAGGTACAATTGTGTAAACCAACTTTGAGTTTAATTTTCTATGGGTTAGTACAATGCCTTTTAGTGAAACTTAAATATGCACAATATCATATACATATATAAATTAAACTCACATATGCATATATGTGATATATGTATATGTTAAAATATTGATCAAGGCCTGGGGTGCAGTTCAGTGGTAGAATACTTGCTTGTCACACAGAAGGACTTGGGTTCAATTCCCCTGTATTATGAAAGATGATCAAAATGTAAACTATCAATAAAAGGAGTTCCTGGTAAAAGGAGAGTGGGTCAGAGCCCAGGTTCCAGTTTAGACCTCTGGGGGCTGGGAACAAGAGGAAGAGCTAGGACTGAGCCATGCTGCTGCATCTTACATGGGAACACAGTGACAGGGAAGCCCTGTCAGGAGGAAGTAAAGATGAGACTCAACACCACACCCACCATGGCAGCTCCAAATGGGCAAGGCAACAACCTAATGAATGCTGAGCAGTTCCTGCCAGCTGGGTACTGTGCTTAGCAGTTCACAGATGTTTTTCACTTAAAAGCCACAATAAAAATTCCAAGAAATTGTCCATTTTCATTTGAAAATTGAGGTCATTATCTGAAAAATGAGTATTCAGCACAACCAGAGAAAATAAGGATTAACATGACCCAAGAATATCTGGAATGAGAATGTCAAGGTTCAGACTTAGAGAAACCTGAGCAGAAGTGATTGAGGACATGGCCATGGAGGCAATTGGAGGGGGTGAATTAATTGGTGTCCCCAAAAGTCAAAACAGAAGACACAGAGTGGAATGTTGTGTCAAGAGGCTGGGGAGAGGGGCCTCTGTTAACACTCAAATTAAAACTAGGGAAGCAAGATAGAGGCTGGATATGGAAGAGAGCCAGAGAAATCTGGTGAACGTGCATATCTGAACAGGCAGGCAAGAGACTGGGGCAGGACTGAATGTCAACCATGTGAAATCAGTGTGCCTTCCATCCAGCACTTTTTCACAGCCCTGGTTTCTTTAGGGACACGAGCATTTTGCCACATACTGAAGTCCCCCTAGGTGAAGAAAAAGGAAGCCACTCTAGAGAGTGTAGAAGGTCTGTAATAACAAGAAAGAGCCTAGTGAGGTAGAAGGAAGACCAACTAAAAGGCCAAGCACCTGATTTGGTCTCTAACCCCTGGAAACAGCTTGTCTATTAATGTCTCAATGCCCCTGTTTGCCAGTTGGATCATGTAAAATATAAAAATATAGTAAAACATTTTCAACTATAAATGACATTGGATAAAACAGGCTCCAGGCCAGTATGTGTCTCCCACCTATAGCCAACCTTCCATAGAATTTTTGTTTTTGCCTTTTGAGGTTTCATAATGATTTTTTTACATATATTTCTTTTTTAAAATTAGAAGTGTCTAGTTATACATAGTAGTGGGTTCATTTGGACAAAATCATACACGTGTGCAATTTGACTTCAGATCAGGATTTGCCTCTTTCCCTCTCTCTTTTTCCTCCCGTCCACTCTAATGTCTCCCAAATCTCCTTCATCTACTCTACTAGACTTCCTTTTCCTTATCTATTAATTTATATCAATTTATATTTTATTGCTTCTTTCTACCTATGCATAAAGGTGGAGTTCCCTGTGGTATATTTATATGTGCACATAACAACTTTTTAAGAATTAATTCTAGGGCTGGGGTTCTCTGGACACATCATTCCACTCTGTGTCTTTGTTTTGCCTTTTGGGACACCAACTGATCCACCCTCTCCAATCACCTGCATAGATCATATCCTCAATCAATCTGCTCAGGTTTCTCTAAGTCTGAGCCAGTGGAGAGAACTTGCCTCACACACCTGAGTCCCTGTGCTCAATCCTCAGCAACAGGTAAAAATAAATAAAAATAAAGATTTTTCTGAAGTTGTACTAGTCTGCAGACACTAACAATGTACAAGTGTTCCTTTTCCTCACAACCTTCCCCACATTTTGTTTATGTGTATTCTTAAACATTACAATTCTGGAGTGAGATGAAATTTTAGTGTTGTTTTCATTTGTTTTTCCCTGATTGCTAGAGAGGTGAACCTTTTCTCATCTATTTGGCTATTTGTGTTTTTGTTGCTGTTGTTGTTGTAGTTTGTAAAGAAGTTTCTATTTAGTTTTTTTCTATTAACTATTTATTGATTGGGTTATTTGAGATATTTTTGTCTGAAGTGCTTTGAGTTATTTATATATTTGGGGTATTAATCCCTTATCCGATGAGTAGCTGGCCAAGATAATTTTCCCATTCTGTAGGCTCTCTCTTCACACTTTTCTTACTTTCCTTTGCTGGGAAGAAGTTATGTAGTTTGACGGCATCCCACTTATTTATTCATAGTTTCAGTTCATGTACTTTTGAGTGTCCCGTTAAGGAAGGTGGTGTCAGCAATTTTATGATGGAGTGTTGGCCCTACGTTTTTTTCTAGCAGTTGTAAGGTTTCTGGTCTAATTACTAAATGTTTGATCCATTTTGATTTGAGTTTTGTGCAGGGTGCAAAATAGGGTTTTGGTGTTATTTTTTCTACATATAGTTATCCAGTTGTCCTAGCACCATTTGTTAAAAAGGCTCTTTCCTCCAGCATATATTTTTTGCACCTTTGTTAAGTACCAGAGGGCTCTAAGTATGTGGATTTGTCTCTGTCTTCTCTTCTGTCCTATTGGTCTTTGTGTATCTTTTGGTGCCAATATCATGCTGTTTTTGTTACTACAGCTCTGCAGCATTACTTATAGTCTGGAGTTTTGTATTTAACACTGGCACCAATAATAAAAAACAAACTGAAATAAAACATGCTTTCAACAATTAGATAGTAGGAGTCAAATATGTGAGCTAATATATGAACTTCCGAACTTGAAGTGGTGGGAATCAAATAAATAAATTAAATAAATAAATAAGTAATACACAAACACACACATATATATTTAGGAATATAATATTTTTCTTTTGGTAGAGCTATTTTTGTTTAATTCCTTTACTTAAATTCTCTTTTATGTGGTGCTAAGGATCCAACCCAGTGCTCACACATGCTAGGCAAGTGCTCCACCACTGAGCTACAACCTCAGCTCTAGGAATACAATATTTTTTTGAAACTTCTTTTAAAAATTATTATTATTTTGACATATTATACATACATAGAATAATCTAACTTTTTGAAAATAGGTTCCCCTCATTATTATGGTTGTACATGATGAGAAGCTACATTGGTTGTATATTTATAGATGAAGATAGGAAAGATGTGTTGTATTCATTCTCCTGTCTTTCCTATTACCATGCTTCACACTTCTCTTCATTCCCCTTTGTCTAGTCCACTGAACCTCTAATCTTTCACTGTCTTGTTGTGAGTTAGCATCCACATTCTACCTTTGAGTTTTGGGACTGGCTTATTTCACAAAGCATGATAGTCTCCACTTCCATCCATTTACTGGTGAATGATATAATTTCAGTCTTCTTTACGGCTGAGTAGTATTCCATTGTGTATGTATACCAAACTCTTTATCTATTAATCTGATATAGGGCACCTAGGTTGGTTCCATAGCTTGACTATTGTGAATTGACCTGCTATTAAATATTGAAGTGGCTGTGTCACTGTAGTATGCTGATTATAAGTCCTTTGGGAATAAAGTGAGGAGTGTGATGATGGGGTCAAAGAGTGGTTCTATTCCAAGTTTTGTGAGGAATCTCCACACTGCTTTCCAGAGTGTTTTCACCAATTTGCAGTTTCACCAGCAATGTATTAAGTGAATTTCTTTCCCCACATCCTTGCCATCATTCACTGTTGCTTTTATTTTTAATATCTATTATTCTGAGTGGGGTGAGTGGTTTTCCAGCACGATTTGTTGAAGAGGCTATCCTCTGCACACTACAATGACATAATCACAACAAGGTTTTTAGCAGAACAATTCATAATAGCTAAGCTGTGGATGGATACACACACACACACACACATACACACTCAGCCATAAAGAATTTGCCAGTAAATGGATAGATCTGTAGACTACCATACTAAGTGGAATACATCATCCCCCAAAATACAAAGATCAAATGTTTTCTCTGACATTTGGAAGCTAATCTACACTAAGGAGGGAAGAGGGGAAAAATACAAGTTCCAGGCATTAGACAAAGAGAAATGAAAGAAAAAGAGGAACTGGTAAGGAAAGAAAATGAATGGTAAGAAAAGGAATGAACCTGATATAATTTTGCTATGTACATATAGGAACACAACACAGAGAATTTCACCATTGTGTACATCCTAATTAGAGTAAGATATATTTTGTGCTTGTATATGATATCAAAATGGGCTCTACTCTCATGTATAACTAAAAAGAACTAATAAAACAAACACAATAAAAAATGACACTTTCATTTGCATCTCTAAGATAACAATCCAAGCTTGAGTTAGATTTGTTCCCCATGAAAACCCCCAGAGAAAGATCCATGTGCTAGTAACTTAGGAAGGTCACATTCCCAGCAGAAAGAGGTAATGATGTCAAGGATGTCAGGTACAGAAGGTAAAAAATTCTAGAAAGTATGGAATTTAAGGGAAGGTAGCATGTGTCTGAAAAATGCTCTTCACAGGGTTAGGACCCTAATCTGACTGGGCTTCCCTGCTGCAGTTATCAGGAATATCAGGAGAGCAGGCATGAGCACAGAGCAGAGTTCAGAATGTAAACAGAAAATGGAATGTAAACAGAATGTAACAGAATGTAAACAGTAGATGGAAAGGCAGGTCAGGTCTATAAGGCTGTGGGAAATACAGATAAGACCCAACAGAGGCTCCATCTGCTGTTGGAGACAAGCCCAGGTGAAGAGAAATCACTATAGAAGTAGGAGCTACTATCTTCTATAGAGTTAAAAGGAGTCAAGTGCATCCCAGAGCCAACATACCTGAAGCCTGAAGGCCAGGGAATCTGCATGCTAGTTTCCTCTTGCCCATCAGAATTTTTCTTGTAATTATCTTTTGTTTGCAGACACCTGGCATCATTAAGGAAATGCTCTGTAAGTATGTGCAAGTAAGATATGATTCATAAAATCCAATAGCACCCAGATATATTTGCCAAATACTAGGAAATCACAGTGGAGGTAGGTTGTGCTTTGGGGAAGGAAGAGATAATAAAAATCAAGCAAAATCAAAGGAGAAACAAACATATTATTTAGGAAAGGAAAACTCATCCTAAGGAATTAAAAAAATATGTGTAATAATGATATGCTCCATGTATACCCATTATATATGATAAAACACATATATAAACTTTGTGTAATACACACATGGGGGTCTCTATATTTATCTGATGGACAACTGCTCCTTGGGGCTCTTGACTCCACCTGTGCATGGGAAACTTGCTTCAATGATATGTACAGGCTCACCTGTCCACTCAAAGGACCTTGGGCCTTCTCTGAGGAAGTTGAAAGGAGAAGAGTGTTCAGTAACAATCCCAGTTCTCCCTTTTCTAACCAACTCCTGGAAAATCCATTTCTTATGTCCCTGCCAACTGACCCAACCTAGTGACCCAGGCACAGTGACAGAAATCATGTGTCTGATGGACATGTCATCTTTTGTACATGTGCCTAGGTATTCTTGGGTGGGTGGTGCCCATACAAAAGTCCCTAAAGTAAATTCATACAATTGACAAAGAGGACTTTGAAGTAACAATGAGTTCATGTTTATTATCCAAATATGATTAATCTTAGTTACATTTTCTGGAGAGAACATTCTACAAAGATACCAGATCATGAGACAAAAAAGGGGATTTGTTTATCTTGATCCACAGGCAGAAAAGATCATGGATAGAAATGGTGGACATCATTTTTTGGGGGGGGGTAGTGGGGATTGAACTCAGAGTCACTCAACCACTGAGCCATGTCCCCAGCCCTATTTTGTGTTTCATTTACAAATTGGGTTTCACTGAGTTTCTTAGCACCCAGCTTCTGCTGAGGCTGGCTTTGAATTCATCATTCTCCTTCAGCCTCCTAAGCCACTCGGATTATAGGCCTGAGCCCCCATGCCAAGCACAGTGGACATACTTTAAAGACAGAATCGATCAGAGTCTGAGAAGTGCTCATGATGCCCTCTTTCTTACCGCAACCTACATGCAAATATATGGCTGACACAGCAAAGGCAACAATGAAAGAAATCTGACCAGGCCATAGGAAAATAGCAAAGCTTAAGAACCACCTGACCTCTGTACCTACTCTGAAACAAAATGGGTCTCCTGCCTCTGCTTGCATATATCTCAACCTACACAGTAGAGTTGAGTG